GCTGCGGCTGCAGCGCGAGTGGAGCGGAAGTGGAATCCAGGGCCAGTTGGGGGTGGGGGTGCCGGGAACATGCGCGGCGGGCACAGGGGGCAGCGGTGAGTCGAAAGAGGCGGAGGAGAGCGCGGCGCTCCGCCCAGTCTCCGCCCTTAGGGCGGGGCTGCCCATGGCTTGGGAGGGGCCCCGGGAAGCGGGTGCAGTGGGTCTGCTCTTTTTTCAGGCGGGGTAAACTGAGGCCCAAAGAAAATGAGGCTTGGGGCCGGGCACAGTGGCTCATTCCTGTAATCCTAGCACTTTGGGAGGCCGAGGTGGGCGGATTTCCTGAGCTCAGGAGTTTGAGACCAACCTAGGCATCACGGTGAAACCCCATCTCTACTAAAATACAAAAAGTTAGGCCGGGTGTGGTGGCTCACGCCAGTAATCCCAGCACTTTAGGAGGCCGACGGAGGGGGAGCGGATCACCTGAGGTCAGGAGTTCAAGACCAGCCTGGCCAACATGGTGAAACTGTGTCGCTACTAAAAATGCAAAAATTACCCGGGTGTGGTGGCGGGCTCCTGTAATCCCAGCTACTCAGGAGGCTGAGGCAGGAGAATCACTTGAACCCGGGAGGCGGAAGTTGCAGTGAGCCGAGATCATGCTACTTCTCTCCAGCCTGGGCGACATAGTGAGACGCCATCTCAAAAAAAAAAAAAAAAAAAAGAGGGCCATCCTGCTCTGGGTAGAGCCGAGACCTATAGCACAGGTCTGTGCCACCCTAAGATGTGCCACCGAAACCCGTGGTGTGAATGGCTAAAGAACCCTTTCTGAAAGGAATTGTGATACTCTGGTTATAAAAAAAATCGTTGGGATAATATCAGAGATTTGGTACCCCCCAAATTTGAGATATGTGAGGAAGGAGAGCATTCTTTGTTGTTTTAAAATGAAATACAGACACGGCGTGGTGGCTCATGCCTATAATCCCAGCACTTTGGGAGGCTGAAGTGAGAGGATCACTGGATCCCAAGAGTTGCAGACCAGCCTGGGCAACATAGGGAGACCCCGTCTCTACAAAAAATAAAAAAAGCCGGGCATGATGGCCTGGGCCTGTAGTCCCAACTACTTGGGAGGCCGATTGCTTCAGCCCAGGAGGTGGAGGCTGCAGTAAGCTATGATTGCCACCACTGAACTCCAGCCTGGGTGACAGAGTGAAACCCTGTCACTAAAAAAATAAAACATATATATTTATTATGTACTGATCACGCGCATAACAAAGGTGAATCCTCCCCTAATGAAACTGTATTCACAAGGGAACACAGAGATTTGCACACACACACACACAGACTGGTTGTGCAGCTTTCCTCCTCCTGAGACCAGGACCTGTCAAAGACAAGCAAAAGGAAGTTGTTAGAGTAAAAAATAAGAGAAAGCTAGTATTTTTAAAAACTTCTTACTGTGGAAAATATCAAACAGAAGAACAGAATGAATTTCCAGAACTTCATAAATTGTCAACACTTTTCAATCTTGTTTCATCTATCCCCTGCCACCATCTTCCAAACCTTATTTTCTTTGCTAGAATATTTTAAAGCAATGGGTATTACATTTAAAGTTTGACTTGTTTAACCTGTACTACTTTTAGGTAAGGAAAGTTCAGTATTTCTTAGAAAACCCTTTCCCCAACCAAAAAACAAAGAACAAGAGAAAAATTGATAGACTTGGCTCTATGAACCTGCAGTATCAAAGAGAAGGGGGCTCAGTTTTCTTTTTTGGGTTAAAATACAGTCCAACAGAGAGTATTGTCATTTTTGTACAAAAACAGGGACAAAAGAAAAGGCAACAGTGCAAATACTCCATCTTCCAGGAAGGGAGGCTGGGATGCCTTAGTGTTAAAATGACAAAAGAAAAGCCCAGAGCAGGAACCATGATCCCTCAGAGGAGTCCCAAAAATGTCCAAGACAGCCTCGCTGGGAGAGGGGGTGTGGGAAGGGCAGGCCCCCAAGAGAGAGGTCCCCACATCCTCTGGCTAGAGACTAGGCCCAGGCCCCACTCATGCCACCAGCCCTCACCTCCCTTTGGGGTAAGAGCAGGTGCTGAGGTGAGGCTGGTTTTTGTTCCCCACTACTACTTTGTGATTTGTTCTTGGATACCTGGAAAGGGGCCAATTGAGGCCTCAGGGGTTGAGGCCCCTCTGGAACTGTGGTTCCTAGGAATGGGCTTGGACATAGAAGCCACTGGATGTCTCTTCCCTGAACAGTAATTTTGTTTGTCAGTAACCCTGTAACTTCACAAGGAAAACAAAGTACAGGCTAGTCTTCCCCGCCCCAGCCAAAAAAGAGAAGGGGGTTTCTTTATCTGCAAGATTTGGGAATCCTAGAGTTATTTATTTATTTAGGGTTTTGCTTTTTTGCCCTAGCTGGGGTGCAGTGGTGGGAATATGACTCACTGTAGCATTGACCTCCCGGGTTCAAGTAATCCTCCTGCCTCAGCCTCCCAAAGTACTTGGGATTACAGGCATGAACCACCACGCCTGGCCTATTTTTCTTCTCGTAAGCCTCCCTTTTAAGAAGGAAAATGGGTTAGCCCTTCCTAACAGATCATCACTACAAATAACAGGTTGCTGATGTATTAGAGACTCTGCCTATATTTACTCTTGCCCTCATTTTCTTAATAGCAACAGTCGTCATCTATAACATAAAAATCTGAGTGGATTGGAAACTTAAATAGATAGAAATTCTGTACTTTATAATCAGGAGGGTAAGTAATAAGAGGCAGCCTGGGCAACCTGGCAACATCCCGTATCTACTAAAAACACAAAAAAGTAGCTGGGCGTGGTGGCACCTGCCTGTGGTCCCAAAAAGTCATACACTCTCTCGCAGCACAAACTAACCCTAAAACCGGAGTCCGCAAGGTTGAGGCTTTAGTGAGCCGATATCGCACCACTACACTCCAGCACTCCAAGGTAACACCTGCCAACCTCATGACAGAGACCCTGTCTCAAAAGTAAATAAATAAATAAAATTAAACTACAAGAGGTCATTGGTTTGGACTGAGCTCTTCTACTAGGCCCAAAAGACCAAATCAAAATGAAGTTACTCACTTTCCACAAGACCAAGTTGAAACTAAGTTTATTTGACCTTCTGAGTAGTCAGGAGAGACAGATAAAGGCCAAATCCTCGAACAGACCCGTGGTAGCTGGCAGGATAAGGAAGTCCCCTCTGCTTTCACCTTTATAGGGAAAACACCTGAAACAACCAATCTGCTTTGTGTTCTCTGTTTTTACTTTCCTTGGCCCTTTTCTATCTACAAACCCAGCCTCCTTTGCTCAGCTCATCAAAACACTCACTCTACTTTATAGAATGAGATGTTTCTATTCTAGAATAGAAAATAAATCAATTAAGATTTGTATGGGCCGGGCGCGGTGGCTCACGCCTGTAATCCCAGCACTTTGGGAGGCCAAGGCGGGCGGATCACAAGGTCAGGAGATCCAGACCACGGTGAAACCCCGTCTCTGCTAAAAATACAAAAACTTAGCCAGGCGCGGTGGCGGGCCCCTGTAGTCCCAGCTACTCAGGAGGCTGAGGCAGGAGCAGGAGAATGGCGTGAACCCAGGAGGCGGAGCTTGCAGTGAGCCGAGATCGCGCCACTGCACTCCAGCCTGGGGGACAGAGCGAGACTCCGTCTCAAAAAAAAAAAAAAAAAGGATTTGTAAAAGGCGAGGCTGGGCGCGGTGGCTCACGCCAGTAATCCCAGCACTTTGGGAGGCCAAGGTGGGTGGATCACCTGAGGTCTGGAGTTCGAGATCAGCCTTACCAACATGGAGAAACCCCATCTCTACTAAAAATACAAAATTAGCTGGGCATGGTGGTGCATGCCTGTAATCCCAGCTACTTGGGAGGCTGAGGCAGGAGAATTGCTTGAACCCAGGAGGCAGAGGTTGCCGCGAGCTGAGATCGTGCCAATGCATTCCAACCTAGGCGACAAGAACGAAATTCTGTCTAAAAAAAAAAAAAAAAATTGTAAAAGGCACGTGCGGTGGCTCATGCCTGTAATCCCAGCACTTTGGGAGGCCGAGGCGGGCAGATCACTTGAGGTCAGGAGTTCAAAACCAGCCTGGCCAATATGGTGAAACCCCATCTCTACTAAAATACAAAAATTAGCTGGGCATGGTGGTGTACGCCTGTAATCCCTGCTACTTGGGAGGCTGAGGCAAAAGAATTACTTGAACCCGGGAGGCAGAGGTTGCAGTGAGCCGAGATGGCGCCGCTGTACTCTAGCCTGGGTGACAGAGAGAGAGACTGTCTCAAAAAAAAAAAAAAAAGATTTGTAAACTAAATTCATTGTAATTTTGTCTTTTGACAGTTCTGGCAACCGACAAAGGGACCTGAAGGACACTGCTGATGACTTCTGAGACTCCCAGATGAATATCAGAGAGGTGCCACAGAGCCACAGATGCCTTTTGAAATCTTCGGTCTTCCTCATGGAGCCTCAAGAGTTATAGGTTAAGTTCCTCTCAAGTGGACTCCCCTTTTTCTTTTTGGCTTTTGAATTTAGGGTTAGTTTATGCTGTGAGGCAGTGCATGACCTTTTGGGGTTTGCAGCGG